ACACAAAAAAAGTTATATGTAAAGTTAGCAGAAAGAACCTTGCTTGGTCTTTATTAAAGTAAAACCCAGAATGGTCTTGTTTGTACAGATTAGTAGATATCACAATAGGTAAATCATTACATATTTAGTTTAGGTATAACTTTCATTTTGACTGTGCTGTATTTTCCACATGGTAAAAGATTTAAAGCACTCCACCATTCCAGATGATATATCCCCAGTCTAATCCAGTGCAGGCTGAATATTAACACTTGTAAGATGTGATATAGCAGAGGGAAGTAGTATATTTTATACCTCTTACTGGAGCCTGTCTGTTAGATTTTGCAGAACAGACTGGTGTTCCTGCCATTGGAGAGTATCTATGCCTCAGTCTCAACCCATTTTATTGTATATCCAGGAGAGAGAGAGACGTCCTCAGTATGTTTTAATAGGTTTCTTATTGACATTTCTGGTGTATTTAGATCAGTTATCGTCTTCAGCATGTAATGTTGTTGTAATGGAGACATCTGCTGTATCTATAGTACATATATCTTCATCTTCTTTTATTTCTGTATTTCCTGTTTGCAGCCTAGTTTGTTCTGATATTAACCCATTAGCAAGAATCACAGATTAAATAGTTTTACTTATACTGAGGGGACATTTTGATACCACAGTGTTAGGAGACCTCTACTTGTAGTATAAAATGAACTACGGAAATTACCCATCTTGATTTCAAGCTCTTCTACATTGACAAGGTCTTTGAGGAAAAGAATGCATTTTTTTTTTACTTTTTGCAAAGTTTATTTTTCTTTGCTTTACGTGTTTGTCTATATCCCATGTGTTCCATGGCATGAGTTTAATCACATTAAAACGTCCCATGTTTCGCGGTGGCCGTGCTGGACTGTACTTTCGCCTGGAGAGCATGAAACTCAATGCTCTTTTATCTATGTGTTTTTGCTGGGCCAATTTGACTGCTTGGTGAATGAGAGCTTCTTTCTTTTTGGCTGCGTGGCTTGATGAACAGGAGACCTCACTCCTTCATTCATTTCCTCTCTTCTGTGTCTGATATTTAATCTTCCTTGGCAGCCATTTGTCCACATATGTCAGCCATTTCTCTTAGTCTGCTGTGTGTCGGATGATATGCTGCTTACATCTTCAGCGATGGGAAGCAGCAGTCGTTTCAGAGCAGCTGTGTTGGCTATTAGTCATGTGTTGCGTCTTGCCACCTCCTCCTTCAGACACGGCAGACATTTTTTCCTTTTCTTTCTAGTAAAATTCACCAGTTTTTTGCATCTTCAAATGCATATTTTAGGATAATTTATGAGAAAGTAACAGTTGGGAAAAGTCTCACGCACATATTATTCCTAGGGTACCATCATTTGGCTCTTGAAACTTGAAAATGCTTATTTTTGCTCAGTGAAAATATATGCAAGTGCAGTATTTTACAAACGCAGGGTATGTACTCTGAGATCCCAGTCAAATTTATCCTTGCTGTGGCTTTGCTGCAGATAGAGGATGTTTTCTCAGTGCATTCTGAGGCCCATGTAAATACATTTAAAAAAATTGGTGTTTTCTGCCTACCTTTCTATAAGCAGAATATATAGACTTGCTGCTAATGATATTTAAAAAGATTTTTGTTTAATAATTCTTAAATTAAAGGTTACAAAATTAAAGAATAAATTCTTAGGCTTATTTTTATTCCCATGACTGTGTAGGCTATATCTGTGACAAACACCCAGGCATATTAAGGACAAGCAGTACATATATTCATTAAAGTTACATGAATACCTGAGTCAAACTTGTAAAATCAATCCATATGTGTAGTGTTTAATCAGACGCATGATCTCTCATGCTGTAAAGTACAGCAAAAAATTTGAATTCTAAATGAGCTGTTTTGAAAAAGACATTGAATGTATTTCATTGTCTTACATTTTAGTAGATTTAAACACTTTTGGTACTTTTTTAGTACATTTCGGTTAATATATTTTAGGTACGGTATATGTTGTTGCACAATAGCTTCTTCAGGATTGTTCCTGTTCTCAGATTGTTCCTTGCTTGTGCAATCATTTTAGCCCTGCATTTTACAGAATTGTACAGAACCCTCACAATTCAGTGTCTAAACTTCATTTCTTCAGTTTCTCTTTTTCTTTAGCTTCACAATATCTCTCTTTGAGCACTGTGCTCTGAGGAATGGATTGTATGAAAGCATTTAAATAATTGGCCCTTTTGGTCAGAAGTTCAATAGCTGTTCAGCTCACCAAGCTTGAGGTCCCATGAGGTTGAGACGGGAAACTGGACTGAGTTACACACGTTGAAATTCACTGATCAGGCTCACCACCTCTGTGGCTTCAAAAAAGCTGCAGACCTTTTTGCACCAGCTCTCCATTACCACTAGCTCGGGGTCTCGGGGTCTCAGCTGAAATGCAAATTCACAATCCATGCAGCTTGACTTAAATGGAGACAATGGAGATAGAGGACTTGAATAAAAACAAATACAGTTAGAGCAGAGATCAGCGATCAGATTGGGTCTGCCCAGGGAGCAAGTGCCCACTGAAAAGTAAACTGCGAAGTTTTCGCTGTGGAGCTTTTGTCTGGGTTGGGGAGGGAGGGGGCAGAAATATGAAGGAGTGAGTTAGGCCAGGGAACTCACAGAAGCGGCGAAAATGGCACAAGGTTAATGTCAAGAGGAAGAGAGGAAGGAAAAGGTGACAGACAGATTCCAGGGGGAGTGTGAAAGGCAGCAGTCTGTGAATGGAAGGGATCAGCTGAGTGCAGGGGGGTGTGAATACAGCCTCACAATGGGCTACGCCTTTTTGTGTACAAGACCATCCTCTTGAGGGGGAGATTGATGGAGGATGAATAAAATTGTCACGTTTGGCTGCTCATCAGACATTTCTCAAGTGATCATTAACATTGGTAGAAATACAGATTCAGACTTTGTTCTGTTTTTTTTTAATACAAGTTAAAGTTGTATAACAGCCACATTGGCACCTTTTGATCTTTGTTAGACTTTTAGATCAGATTGACATTTAGGAAACATTTTGCGGTTTGCCCCTACATACAGTAAATACAGTGGGCTGTGTCTTTGTCTGCTTACTCTGTGAAGTATCACTGCTCAACATCTTCAAAGACAAAAGTGATAATCCCTTTTATATTTCTTGTCATTGTGACATTTAAATGCTGTAAGATATTTAGAATTCTGCACTTCTGTATTTTTAAAGCCGTGTGTTTTCTGCACACCTATACTGTTGCAACCTGATCCATGATCATGCTGAATATCAATGATAAGGTCCTGGCTCCCATTTTTCCACACAATCCCACGTGATTCCAACATTCCAGATAAACTGTATAAAGAAAGACACAATATAAACCACAAGTTGTATGTTCAAGCGATACTGGGTAATGATCATTATTTTACTCTCAATTTAGAACAGTTTCTCATTTACAATAACAATGTGGCTAGAAGGTTTATACCAATTTCACACACGAAACAAAACAGTGAAAGAGAAACGATCGCTCATTCAGAAAGTAATTAAGTAACAGGATGTGGTAGTACTAACACGTGCAAGTGACAGTTAGTCTGTCCATCCATTTTCTCACCACTTCATCCATTTCTGGGTCGCAGGGGAACCAGAGCCTGTCCCAGCAAGCAACGTGCACAAGGCAGCGTACACCCTGGACGGGACATCAGTCCATCACAGTGCACAGACACACACAATCACACCAGAAACCAGTTAACCTACCAGTAGGTCTTTGGACTGAGGAAGGAATCCGGAGCACGAGGAGGAACCCAACATGAACACAGGGAGAACATACAAACAGAGCACTTCCTCAGGACCTGTATATATATCCTTCATTTCCTATATGACATTTTGAAAGTATTTCAAATTAGTTTAGATACATCTCCAGTACAGGGGGACTTGGGAATATAAGTAATATTCAATGATATAGCTGAGGCTGACCTGGTGCATCTTTAAGTGGGAATGGCAGGCTGGATGCCAGGAATTTCCCCAAATTGTAAAGCTTTGTTTGGAATAGCTGTGTAGAAGACGCATGTGGTGTCTGTTTATTTCAGCACTATGATCTCTTATTTTGTGATTTAAGTTATTATTAGAATTTATTGCAATACAGAGACTTTCATAAATGACGCAATACTATATTCTAATTGTAGATGATTTATTCAGCTCGTGGGAATGAGCAGGCAAAGATGCAACACCATGGCACTTTTGTCTTTCAGAAATGGGTTTCATGTTCAACTTCTCTCTTGTGCTCTGTTAATTCATTAACTTCCAGAATAACAATATAGGCAATCATTTGTAAATGTTCTACAGGCCTTAGGAAATTAAGAAGCTCTCTGATATTTTTAGGAAAATTCCAGCGAAGATGGGTTTGGTAAATGGTGACATAAACAGCCCAAAATTCAACAGTTGGCCTTTCCTGAAGTGCCAATCATGCCAAAGCACCAGAGAGTAATTAATGTCAAAGAAAGCCATTAAATGTGCAAAGTAATGACATAATTTAGAATTTTAGAATAACTGCCTGCATTTAAGCATGGTGGATGCTTGAATTATTGCAGGGTAACCGTGTTTGACTGGATTTGATTTCTTGTTTAAAAGATTTGAACTTGAAAGCCTTTCAAACAGGTTAACATTTACCATGAATCAAAGTTTTTGTGTGATGTTCTTTGATATGCTTGTGATTATATGCTGGCTGAAAAGCCCTGTATATAAAGTAATTACAGTGGTATCGCACAATTACCTCTACGACCTAGGTTCCAAAGTGCGTGGCAGGTCAGATTGTTCTATTCTCCCACATGGCTTTGTGTGAAGATGTGCTTCTTGTTCTCAGTTTAAACAGTACAGGTTATGGTGACTTCATGCTCTGTTTCCCTGTTTGAACATTTGTGAAGCAGCACTGGTTTTGTCTAACCCTACTCCTGCTGTCCTTTCAGGCTGCAGAACAGCTACACCACTTCGCAGAGAGCCAATCAAGACCTTGAGGAGAAGCTCCATGCACTGGTAAAGAAATTCTAGGGCAGTGTTTTATTGTGTGACTGGAGTTCTTTCCTTTCGGGTATTCGTTAATTTGTGTTTTTTTTTTCTTTCTTGGAAGAATGTTAAGCATTTGAAGTAATGTGGCCGTCGAAAGGGGAAATGTGATTGAAATGCCAAGGATTTTTCTACTCGCTCCACACCGCAGTCGCCCACACATTTCTGGCCATTATTGTTCTGGGTTCCTGTGTTCCAGTTTGCGTTTAATCTTGAGTGGTTAAATGTCAAAAGTTTTGTTTAAACATTGCAGCTAAGGGTCATCAGAAATGTAGTCAAATATATTCCAGTATTTGTTTTTAGTGAGAGCGCTCTTTCATTTTCTTTGTTTGCTGTGTATGCTGTCTAAAAGACTAACTTGATTCTGCTTGATCGGAGCTACTGGAATGTAAGGAGGGACCATTTTTCTCCATGCTTCCCTTCATTACATCCTTTCTCATTACAGTTTGGAAAGAATAGCTGGAGATGCCCTGGCTCCTTTTTTATGGTTGTTATTTACTGTTTAGTGGCAGTGTGCAGTTTCTCTGCCTTGAATTCAAGCTCCCCTGTCTGACACAGCCGTGAAATATGGGTTAAGAATCCTGGCTTTGAAAGTCACGGTTAACCTTGCATGAAATTGGTGGAATTCAGCCTTTTATAGTGGTACGATGATGCATGCCTGCTAGTAATCAATTGCTGAGCAGGCTGGTGAGGGACCTGGAGTGGCATTATGAAAATGCTGTTTCCATAAAGATGCTTGAGGTGGGTGGTGTATAATGGCACAATCTGATAGAGGATCAGGCATGAACAACTGGGAATTCAGAACCTGGTGTTTAGTCTGTCAGACTATATAGGTAGGATTATGCCATTGTGAACTGAATTGTTCATATTTAAAATTCTAGTTACAGAACCTGTCATCCTCTAGAACTGTATATCTGTCCTGAATTTTAAGCTGCAGTGCATGAGGAACAGTTGAATAGTGAACAGGTATCCTTTGTTAGGCTTCTTATAATTGCATTTAGTGGAAATAGGGGAGAAAACAGAGTACCTCTGGTGCGGTGATGTACTTTATTTATTGTAACCTGAACTGCGTGCATCCTGGGAAGCACAGTGGAGAGAGAGGAGCCCTCTAGGGCAGTTCCCGTCACAGGCTGTCAGCCAGCATGTTACAGGCCCGGCCAGGGCTGACTGGCCAGGCGCAAGGCCTTCTGTCTGGAGACAGGAGCCAGAGCCTGGCTGCCTGGAGTCCTTCCCAAATGCTGAGAGAGGCATTTGGCTTCCACCTAATCCCCCTGCCGAATCGGGGTTGGCCCTCTTATCCGTCTGCTAGCTCCGTGGAAAGGCAAGAAGAAACACGCCTGGGAGTAATCCGCTGTGGTTTAATCTCAGTGTCATTACTGATCTGTCCCGTGATGTGTTTTGAGCTTATTTCTTTCTGCAGTGGAATGCCGTTTCCTTTCAGTGCTGTTTTCTCTGCAGTTTTTATACATTGCAGGTGAGATCAGATCTGGGAGGAAAGGATAAGATGGGGAAAGAGGCTTGCTTTTGCAGAAGTGGCAGATGAGGTCTGAGCACAGGTGTTCTGCTTGTAAGACAAGTCTTCTGTTGCTCACTAGCAAAACTGATTTTACATAACAGATTTGTTTTTAATGTATTAATTCAGACAATACTTGAGCCCCTTCAATCTGTCCTTGCTTCAGTGGGGTTAGGAAGTGTGATGTGCTTTGGTGCCACAAAGGCCATCTGAGCTTGGTCATGCTTATTCTTCAGGCATGTTCAGTATGTTCAGTGTACTAGGTGACAGCCTTGTCAGTGCAGTGCGCAGACACCACGCAGGATTCGTGGACATGCGTCCCTATTCACTCTGTTTATGTGTGTCATAGGAACTGAAAGTTGTCAACTCATCTTTTTGTGTCTCACCTTGAGTGTCTTTCTCTTTCCCTCCTCATGCTGCCATTTTGATCTGGGTGTCTGTCTTCAGGCTTCTATAAGTCAGACCTGGGTCTATGCAGTTGCGTTACATTTTTTTCTCTTTTGATGTCTTTGCATGCTATTGTTCAGTAATGCATTGCTTCCCTTGTTTTTAAATGTGTAATCAGTTCATATTAGTTTTCCCACTCTCCTTTACCGTGATTCACCTGAAACCCCTAAAAGACAAGGTCTCCCCTGTATCAAACCCTCATGGATGCATTGTGCTTAGCTAGTGACTTTGCAGAGCTGCTTTGCATGTAGGGTGAAACTCTAGTGCTCTAGATCTACTGCTCTTTTGATGCTTCGACCTGGATAACAGCTACCTGCTGAGGAAAACTGGTTAATTTGTGTAGTGATCTTGTATATTAGTAAATGCAGTCAGGTGAGTGTTCTTTTATTCATATCAAATGTTACAGTTCCAGTCCATTGCATGACCACCCTGAGATTGTTTCTCTCAAAGGAACTGCCATCTTAGACTACTGATCATGGCATTCCGTATTTTATTTCACAAGTATGATTTCTGAAATATGTGCTGGTTTGTGCTAAAGAAATACGTGGTCAAGGCAATTTTTTTTTAGAAGATGATTTATTTTTCATGGCCTAAATACTCTGGGGTGCATTTGGTTGCATAAATGTTTAGTGCTCTTACTGTACTTGACTGGGGATCGCACATCAAACACACAGGTTTTAGCAGTTACTTGGCTGACTCATCACAATACCTACTGACCGTGTGGGTTGCTTTCAAGTTTGAAACAAATCCCATCACTGATCAATAAACCCTGCTAGAGTGACTGGGATTGTGTATCTGTTGGCGATATGTCATTTATACTTGTCCCAGGGTTTCTGTTTTGCTGCTGATCTTGGAAGTCCCCCGAGTTAACTATGTCTCAGTGCCTCTGATGATGTGGAGAACTTAAATCAAGTTCCCTGCTAAAAGTTTCATTCTTCATTTTGTGTGATCTGTGCAAGCCTAACATTCCCTTCAAACTAAGAATTAATCTGGTTGTACTCGCTGCCTCTAGAGCAGCAGCCTTTTCCTGTAGTGCGGGGACTGAAGCCGAATGCAGTATTGCTCTTGAGGTCTCACTAATTGTAACACGACTTCCCTCGAACTAGTTTGAGATTTTTGTTATACCCACCTTCCCGATTTAGAGCACCAAGTTGTGGGTTTCTCGTGTCTGGGTTCGCAGCTGTGAACCCTGTGACTGCACACGGGGAGAGTGAGGAAGTGTAGGCACACCCCTTTGTCTTGATCTGCGCCGCTGAAGGGACATTGCTGATTGGAGAAGTGTGTTGTAGCTCTGCAGTCCTGCAGGCTCCAGGGAAGTTGCAGGGGTTGCTGGGCTGATGAGAGAGCCCTGGCCAACTGGTAATGTATTTTTCGCTCTTTTTGTGTTATTTTTGGCCCCTGCTAGTCTGAAACCCTTCCCTTCCCTCGCCCGGGGCGCTGACTTCTACCGGCGCTCGCTGCGTCTCCTCCCTCTCCGCCCTGTCGCAGAATCCGTTGTCTTTTTCCTGTTTTGTTGGCCATTAGAAGAGCACCTTGTGTGAGAAGCTGAATCCAGAGTGATGCGATGGGCTAATTTGGGCAGGACTCATCCAGGCAGCATCTGGAGTCATTCCGTTCGTTTAATTGGAAACTTTCCAGCATGGGGATTTAGGGATTGCCATCCATATGGTTTGCTTAAAACAAAAAATGAAATGTCACTTTCGGTGAAGAGATGGTGTGTATTGAGTTTTTTATAGTTTCTCATTATTTGGATGAATGCTGCAGATTAACAGTAAAACCTGTCTCAGGAATAGCAAAGTGAAGTGGTTTGTACTCCTTGTACACAAGTCAGCTTCAGCTGTTCATGATAGTGACTGTTGGAGCAGTGGCTGCAATATTGCTTAATGTCTTCATAATGTTCTTGATGTGTTCTCTGTTTCTTTATCGCTTTGCCTCTTACTGTATATAGAATTTCAGTCCCACCTGTTTCTAAAACCTTAGCTGTTTCTTGTCGCAGTTGGGAATCAACTAATAATGATCAATTAATCAAAAAGGGATCATTTCAATTTACTACTTTTATGTTTTCATTTGATTTTGCATTTTGAAAGATTGAAATTCAATTAACTAGGTTGCTTTCTTTAATTCTACATTACTGTTAATACAACCCTGACATTTATTTTTGAATTTGAGTTTTCGTTGTGCAGTGTTATAGGCCCCAGTGTGAGTCTTGTTTAGTCATTGTTTTATTTTTCACTGGACAGTACTCTTCCCAGAAGCTTATTAAGGGAATCAAATGAAAAATACTGCCTAATGGATATTTTCTATGAAAGAACAGTATGAGCCATTTCATAGTGAATTGAATGATGGATGTCTTTGCCGGCTTAATGTTTAGAAACATTCATTCAATTGACATTTCACTCCTGTAAGAAACCAGCAGACGCTGAGGCTGGGTGATGCAGGGTTCAGTGCAGTGTTCTGCCGTTGTTGTCAGCCGTTAACGGAGGGCTCGGACCACATGCGGAGCTTCAGATCCCGCTGCCTGCTCCTCCTGGCCGTGTCTTAAAGCCACATGCTTGTCGCGTCGCCTCGCCCTTTGACCGTGAGAGGGATGAGGGAGCGGTCCGTGGCACTGACTGCCTGTGCACATGCTTGAAAATATAAGAAGCTACTACCAGACACTTCCAGCAGTGGTTATTCTTTCTGAAAGGTTATTTTTTCCCTTTGTTTTTCCACTCTTTAATAGCTAAGAAAAGTTGAGAGAGATAAGAAGACCATGGACCAGGAGATCGTAGAACTAACAAACAAACTTCTGGATGCTAAGAACACCATTGATAAACTGGAGGAACTGAACGTATGTATAACTATATAATAGTCGGTATTGACCACAGTGGAGACGCCTCATTTTAGTATCAAGATGGCCTTTTCAATTTTACAAGTGTGGCCTTTATACTTTATAGGGGCTTCTAAAGAAACCATATACAGCTGGAATGATACAAATTCATACAGTATTTCTGTTCAGTGATTGACTGGCTTTGCTTTAAGTGTCTTAGTGAGCCTGCCTCCACTGGTGTCATTTACTTTCAGTGGTGACCAACCAGCTACAGTATACAATGTAAAATAAACCCTGGCATGCATAGCCAACTAACAGCTGATTGCTTTGCTGTAATTATCAGACTCTGAAAAAGCAATGTTTAAAATGCATTAACTTATTGTTCTTTCATACTTTTACTTTTGCCACTTAAGGAGCATCAGCATGTTTTTTTTCCCCGATCGCTGTATGTTTCTAAAATGTGGAATGAGACTGATATTTTAGTCTAAAGAGCAATGAAAAGGCTTCTTTGTCATCCTACAGACAAATGTTGAATGTTGTTTTTGTTCCAGAATGTAATATACTCATTTAATTTGGACTCGAATTGGAAGTTGTTGAAATTTTTCGTTTTGCACCCATTCTTCTGGTTCAATTCCTGGCTTCCACCCAGCTCCAAGGTATTTTATATGAAACTGGTCCTTTAGTGAAGTGAATGCTTGTAGTGATCAGCTGTACAAGACCTTAAAAAAATCATTACAGGTCTACCTAAGAAAATAATAAGGACACTTGTTTAGTTTGGTACAAGAACCAGAAGACACTAGGCCTCAGCTCTCCCTGAGAGTTAATGCTCCTTGTTATAATTTTAATGTAAAAAAGTTACTATGTATCCATTTCTGTGCTTGAGCCCTGCATTGTCTTGTGCAGCTAGTATTTATCATTGCTTTTTATAAGTGGAGATATGCTTCGTGGTTTTTCTTTTGTTTATGCCTAGTTTGTGCAAATACTCTCCTGTGAAGTCTTTTTTTTTCCCAGAAGACTTTGGTTTGTCCTCTGAACGGCCTAGCTAGGCCTGTTCAGCCCTGCAGCGCACCTCAGAGGAGAGCTGGTCTTAGTGTTGTTCCAGACTCCTGACTTTTTCCTCTTGCTGTTTCAGGAGCGCTACCGGCAGGACTGTAACCTGGCAGTGCAGCTGTTGAAGTGCAATAAATCTCATTTCAGGAACCATAAATTTGCTGATGTAAGTATAACCCTTGTCTTTGGAACTGAGTACCATAACCAGTAACGTGCTTTCTGTTCTTAAGAATGGAGCAGACATAGGTCTCTACATGCCTTGTACTGCATAGTGAAACACAGAGATCGTCAGAAATGCTGAATTGACTTGAAAGAAAAGGAGCCTCGTAAGTTCATCTTCATCTGAGAAAAAGTTTTCCATTTCTGCCTAATCTCTCCATGCCAGGCAGTGCTAGTGTCACTTGTTTGTGATACACCAGAGAAAGGAGAGAGACATATGTGGATTTACAAACTGTGAAAATGGCTCTCAGGAGCAATACTTGAAATTGGGCCTGAAAGGCTCAGGACAGCTTTTTTGGAGTTTTGGGAGTTAATGATATCAAGTCTTCAGCATGATGGACAGACGTGTATCTACTGAAGCAAAAGCCTTCTTGAAGGTCCTACAGATCTTATCATGCCACCCCACAGAGACTGCTGGGTAGCCACCCCACAGAGACTGCTGGGTAATCTGTGCATTAGCCGATTACCTCTTGTAGCCTGTACAATTAAACTAGTAAAATCAGTTCTGTTTTCCAATGTCTTTTTGTGTCACTGGCATTGTTTCATTCTTCAAATTTACACATTCGTGCACACAGCAACACAAAATACAGAATTGTCCTACAGAAGTGCTTTTACTTGAAGCAGTTATGATCATTTTAAGTTATGAATTGTCAAAATTTGAATTGTATTTTTTCTGGCTAACATTTTATTCCTGGTCAATCTACAGGATCTTTCGCAGTATGATACAGTATGTTTTGTCAATAGAGGCTTCACTTATTACAGGTAAAGAGTTGCCATGGAAATGATGAACAAGACCATAGCTGAGGTATTGGCAGAAAAATCGAGCCAATCATTTCTGTAAGCAATCTGTAAACTTGCAGAGGTTGTCACTTTAATGAAGTCAGTGCATGCAAAGCATTTCTTTTGATTATAGCTGACAGAAAATTAAGCAGCAATCACACAACAGTAATAATTATGCTTGATAATGCAGATTGCTTGAGACGTACAGCTTGTAGCAGCTGTCTGCTGGAGTTTGACAACTGAATACAGTGTTATGGACCTGGCTTTGTATAAATTACAAAGGAATGCACTTTTATTAACCCCTGGCGTGCAGTATTTCTGAGCACAAATTAATTAAGTGAAGAGCTGTTTATATGTAACAGTCCATCCCAAGGGCTAGATTTTTTTTATTTCCCCATTGAAAGCAATGAATCATTTCTGCATATCAGTTCTTTGTAGACTATTATTACCGTTTCAATAGGTTGTCCCTTCAGGCAATATTGCCCTTTTGGGATATACAATTTAACACCAGGGAATTATCTGAGTCTGGGTGTCGTTCATAGTTATGCTTGCTGTTTTAGTGGGGCAGTCTACGATTTCTCTCATGCCCTGTGTTCAAAACAGGGGAACATTGTCATTTTTATTTTGGATATGCATTATAAGTGTTCAACTTATTTGAATATAAACATTTTTGCATATTTTAATAAATTTTAATTTATTAGCACTCTTACAACTTTCTGGACATTTTAGGCATTTTTGGTTGGTGGTTAACAGGATTTTAATCTCTAGGAGAGAAACGGGTTCAAGGGGCGTTAGTTATGAGACTGCCTGTAGAACTCAGTCTTACCATCACTACCCAGAGCTCGTGACATGGAAAACCAAGAGCTTCATCTGAGGACTCAGCTCACACTTCAACACCACGGTTCAGTACAGCCACTGCAAAATCCACTGGGCAGTCTCACAATGTTGATTAATAATTCTCCATTTTCAGAAACATCAGTTCCGTGCTTCTGTTTTAAAGTTGTGTTTTTTTCCATCAAAATTCAAACACTGACACGGAGGTGGACGGCCTGGCTGAAGCAGATAAATCCCACCTAGACCTAAAGAGCTAAATAAATAATGGTGGTGCCAGAGCCCTCCTACAATAGGAACAGGCCAGCCGTACTGCAGAGTTACACAGCAAGAATTAAACAATGACCTTCCACAGCGAGCACTTGCAAAATAAAGGTGATCCTGAGAAAAATTCCAGTTGGTTTTAACTATCTTGATAACATAGCACTTAGTTGATGTTCTACAGTTGTCTGGCCAAAGAGCCAAAAAGAACTTGATCAGCACTTTTGAATAAAAGTTACAAATGAAAACACCCTCAACTTTTACAATAGTTGTGAACTAGGCTCTGTCATTCCCCCGTGTTTTGCGTTTTCCCACAATGAATCTTGTCAATTAAAAAAAAAAACAGGAACATGAATGAACACAATGCACTTGAATGCAGTGCAAAGTGCTTGAATACCATGCATTCTTCCTCATTTAGGAAAACGGGAAGTATCAGGTGCGCCAAGTTTGTCGTCTTTCTTCCCCGGCAGTTTGATAGAGAGCGGCCTGTGTCCCTCAGAAAGACGGCAGTGTGGCGTGTCGAAGCGCAGAGGGTGTCCTGCCTGCTGTGAGCAGGAGAGGGGCTGGGCCCGAGTCCTCTTACCCCCAGCCATGAAGCAAGGGTGGAGGACGGAGGCAGAAGCTCCGCATCGATTTCCTCCCTCGGAGCCAGAGCCAGTGGAGGGTGTGCAATTACTGCTTAACAGGATCGTTACAGCATCATACAGCAGGGCTGTGAAATCGCTAATTCACTCTGCCCATTTTCCACTGATCAATACCGCCTTGCTCCATTCATTCACTGCTAATGTCACAGCGCTAAATAAAGGCTCAGAATTCCAGGCCTTTTTTTTTAATAATCCGAATCGTTGAGATTCTCCATCGCTGAGATAGGGATGATCTTTTTCTCCCCCTTTTCCAAGATAAGAGTAATCAGTTAAACCTCTTACACGAAACAAGATTTTTTAAAAAAAACTTGAATCTAGAGCCGTTAGAAGTCTTCTTCTGTCGCACAAGCCGAAACGATTGACGTTTTGAAGTCTCTGACCTGGGAGATGCAGATCTGTCAGGTACTGGGTGATGAATTGTGGGAAGAAGGCGAACAACGTCAAACCCGTTCTTAGAGTATCCTATTGTAAAGCCTTCTATAGGCAGCACTGCCTAAAAGATGCCAAACCCACTCCACATAAAGCCTTTCCTGTCTTCACCGGGCTGAATGCCTGGGATTTGCAATTTATCCTTTGGGTTTTCCCAGTTGTCACTCATGTCGTATTACTCATTCTAATATGGATTAGAAAGTGAAATTAGTACATCAGACAAGTCCTTCTTATACCTCAACATGCTCTCTCAGGTGGATTCTATGGCTTCCTTAAAGGTCTGGGGACTTACTCATGTGGAATATATTTGATGCCAAGATGATAATGTGCAAAATGAATTCTCCTAAGTGTATGTGTCTAGTATATAAAAGCACAGTCAGGTGTAGCCTGTTCTCAGTGGTAGTATTCGAACTCTCTTTTGAGGAGTCAGCAGATTGGTATGTGGTTAATTGACCCTTAACAAATGCAGTTTTGCAAAACAGCTCAGCTACATAATCATCATACCTTATCTATGTGAATCACCCTAATCTTAATCCTTAATACAGTCACTGTAATATAGCGAGAGGTTTATTTTTATAGCCTAGTTGTCTTTATTCTACTTTTATTTTAATAAAATGGAAATACAATGGCCACTTTTATGGTCTGCTTTTGATGTGGTGTGCAAGGCTGTGGGGAATCCATCCCTGTGCTGTTTCTCTGTGGGTCTGGCAATGGATGGAGACTAGTTCTAGTGCCAGACTTCTTCTGATGTCTGCTTTCTTGAAACAATCGGGCCTTGCCGTGCATGTAGACGTTAATCTTAAAAGAACAGTCTGCATCTCGTCTGTTTCTCTGATACTTCCTCTGTGGTCAAAGCACCAAGCCTGACCTTCCTAGCCGGCTGATTCTCTGAAGAGCTGGCGAGCAGGAACTGGCGCGCTGCAGGGGTTCATTTTCGCCGCTGTGCCGCATGCGTCTGCCACGGATGTAAACCTCGCCTCGCATCTTGTTTTGTTTTGCAGCTTCCCTATGAGTTGCAGGACATGGTAAACAAGCACATGAGGTCCACTCTCCCGGACTCTGAGGCGGCTCAGCAGGACCCGTTCCAGAGCCTCCCGCTGGCCGATGTGGTGCCCACCGCCGTCATTGCCAGGGTGCTGGAGAAGCCGGAGCCGCTGGTGCTGAATTCCGCCCAGTCCAGCAGCAGCGCCGGGCGGCCCGTGGCCGAGGACGTGTTCGTGCACGTGGACATGACGGGGCCGCGGGCGGCGGGCGGCGGGCAGGGCGGGGAGAACGGGGGCCCGGGCCGGGCGGCCCGCCAGCAGCAGAACGGAACGGCCACGCGGCGGAGCAGCTCGGATCGCCCGCTGGGGGAGGACGGGGGCAACGGCGCCGCGGTGCCCTCTTTCGAGAAGTTGAGTCCCTACCCTGCCCCCCCGCCTCCCCACCCCCTCTACCCCGGCCGCAAGGTGATCGAGTTCTCCACCGACGATAAGGTGAAGATCCCAAAGAACAGCCCCCTGCCAAACTGCACCTACGCCACCCGGCAGGCCATTTCCCTCAGCCTGGTGCAGAGTGAAGAGGAGGGCGGGGAGCGGCAGCGGACAGGGCCGAGCAGCCCTTCGGTCTCCGAGGGGGGCTGGCGCTCGGGGGCCTCCTCCTCTTCTGGTGGCCGCCACGACACCCCACAGCAGGACGTGGCCGACCCCCACTCCAGCCAGTCCAGCCCCTTCAGCAGCCCCCCTCAAGCCCCCAGTGCGTTTGCCAGCTCGGGTAGCTCTGAGGAGGACCTCCTGGCCAACTGGCAGCGCATGTTTGTGGAGAAGATGGCCCCGGCCACAGAGGGGATCTTAGTCAATCGCACCTCCTTCAGCAGCGAGACCGTCAAGGAGCTGCAGAGGAGCCGCCTGGGGAAGGCAGCACTGGAGAGGGGTGTGGCGGCTGGGGATCAGCACGGGATCTACTCTGATGGAGAGGAGTCGTCTCCCCGAAGCTGGACAGCCAGCCGGGAGTCCAGTCTCGACACCGACAACAGCAGCGCGGAGGCGCGAGCCCGGAAGAGCCAGTATGGCAGCAACTTCTCCCGGGAGGAGAGTGAGAAGCTCCTGATAGCTCTGGATGCTCAAGACGATGGAGGCAGCTGCGACACCACTATCACCGTGGCTCCGGCCCTGGCCAAGACCAGCCCCAGCGCCAGGACGAAGGAATATGTGGACGTCGAGTCAGCCGGAAGCTCCACAGAGGAGAGAGACATCCTGCCGCAAGATTTCCCCATCATTACTCCCAGGGTCTTGGCAGGGCTGGAGGACCTCGTGGAGAAGCCGCCATCCCATCAGCAGACCGGCCCAGGTACCTCATCCACCAGGCCACAGAAGAGCCCCAAAAGGATGGGCGTGCACCATCTCCACCGCAAAGACAGCCTGACCCGGGCGCAGGAGCACGGGACTCTTCTCGACTAAGCAGGCCCAGCTGAGGCTCTGCTGTGGTACTCCTTTCGCCGTGTGCAGTGGCATAAGGGCTCCGGTGACAGCGAGGGAACTGGAATGGATTTGTCAACAGGCGTCCGATGTTTGCAGAGGTTCCCGTCTGTCTATAACGGTCTTACTTTCTTTCCTACAGCTGGCTCATTCAGCTCCACAGGAGCTGGGTTCTGAAGAGCTTACAGAATGACAAGAGGCGTTAGCCTCCTGCTCTGGGCTTGGAGGAGAAAACTTTCATTATTTTACTGTATGCTGGTCTCCAGTGTTTCAAGTGTCTTACGAGGTTTCATTCTAAAAGAGGTGAGTCTTAATACACAGGAAGGCTTTAGGCTTCCTTCAGACCTTTGGAAAATGGTTTACCCCAGAATGTAGTCATGTTGCAGTTTTTTCCTCAAGTACCATGCACCTGTGTGCTCGCGTTCCACATCATTCCCAACTGGGGACTGTTGGATATTCATGGGTTCAAATGGAGTAATTGTGATGCACAAGCTAAACGTTCCCAGGTTTTTATGCACGGAGCTTAAAAAGCACACCAAAGCAGAGGATGTTTGCATCTTGAATCGCCACAAATCACCGATTTCTCTGTGCCCATGGACTCCCTGGAGAGATCAGGGTTTTTTTCCTGGGCAGCACGTGGCACTTCCAGTGTGCCTGGATTGTGTGTAAGTATCTGCGGCTAGCCACCTGGAGTCACAGCGGTGTCCCTGTGAGGCAGGTGCTGCCCCAGGATTGCTCCAGCTGCCTGACTCGGACACTCCTGGTGCCTGTCCATTCCCTGTGCAGGCTTGGGTAGGCATGGCAGGAGGGAGCGATCCACATTTCAAAGTGGATCTCTTCATGCGTCATCAGTTGTTGAAAATGGCATGAAGTAAGTTGTCCAGAAACACTCAGAAGGCTCACCAATGGCAGGCCACTTGAAGTCGTATTGTGAACTTCAAAATACAATTATAAGCATCTGAAGACTTTTGGGGCAGTTAACTTTGCAAATATACCGTAGCATTAATGATTGAGTGAATTTTAGATCCACTTTGAAAAGTATTTTATTTCCTGACATCTTTAGGTGTGAAAGCTCCAATGGGAAGCCTGTTCAACACAATGAATGTGGTTGGTGTGATCGTTAATCAGATATCGGAGTGCTTGCCCTGCCCATGGTGTCATAGCATTAAGCGATCAAGGTGTTCCTGACACAAATGCTTCCTCCGCTTCATTCGGTGAAGTTCACTACTGCACTTTCAGTTCAGATGTTTTCATTTTGTGATTGCGGTTTTGAGATTTTTATCTTCCTTTTGAGTGTTGGGTGTGGCGGCCTATGTTGACATGCTTCTATTAGTAGGGTATTCCTGGTGTTTCGTGCAGTGTGAAAAATGCAACAACACTTGATTGACCAGGAATGGAGGGTCCTCTTAAAAGGCAAACTTCTCTTTATTGTGTTTTATAAGTGTGTAAGAAATTACAGAAACCGTTAAGTACTTTTATAATTGCCTTTTCTAAGTTTCTAGTTCCAATAAAGCTTCAAAATAGAACATGAAATCAAAGTGTTAAAGTGTCAGCATTGTGTAAATTGTCAAATCAGCATTTATATAAATGTATTGGGCTAATGAAACAGTTCATGCACAAAGAATTAACATTAGTCCTGCAACTGATCTTGATTTGAAAGCGATTAATGCAGGTCTATTGATTGTCTTTTGACTTGCATACCGAGAAATGAATCATGTCTTCTGATTTTGCAATTTATGATTACAAAGAGGTTTTGTTTTTGTGTCCATCTAAAACCAGGGAGCAGTTAGCTGCAGAAGAGACATTAAGTCTAGGTTCACGGGTCAGCACCGAGCAGGAGAAACACCTTAACAGTTTATAAGACTGAATAACTTAATGATGAACAGCTCTCTTATGCAGAGTCAGCACCCAAGTGTTTTTTGAGCTTGAAGGCGGATCCTTTGAACCTCTGTAAATGTTAACTGGTGCCTACTGTTAGAGGGATCTCTGCTCTGTTAGAGATGTTTCTACCCATCTCTGTTATGTGCTGCTATACCATGATCACAGGCAATTCGTTTGCAGTATTCAAATATTTAACAGAAGAGATAGAACATTTTTAGTCTTAAAAGGTGCTGATGTGGATTTTTGACCTTCTATTACAAATACCTACTTCATCCATCCTCAATAGGAAATGTTCACAGAAATCTAGGAGAGTTGAAAGAGCTGAGCTCTCAAGGCAATTAATATTTCCTATGATTTGTGTGCATGTGTTTTGCAGAACCTTGGTTCCCAGGCCCAATGTCAGAGCAGGGGTCTTTAGAAAAGGACACGCACAGAACCTGCTTCCAGCTGTGTTCTTTGACTTGCCTGTTGACAGCTGCTTCTCACTGTAGCACTGATATAGAGGTGCCCCTATTCGCTCAGAGGGTTCCTGCCAGGCTGGTGTCGTGTCTTCTCTCTCATACTCCATCAAAGATATCTTCATTGTATGGTGTGGCATGGAGGTGCAGTGGTGAGCACTGGGGCCTGGTTCAGTTCTTGGGGTGCTGTCCGCATGGAGTTTGCATGTTCTCCCCGTGTTTGTGCGAGTTTCCTCCCACAATCCAAAGACATACTGGTAGGTTGAATGGGCTCTGGTTTGAGTGTCTCCTTCTACCCTGTGATGGACGGGAGTCACGTCCTGCCCACGTCCAGGGCACATCCTGCCTTGTGTCTGTTGCTTGCTGGATAGGCCCCGGCTCCCCATGACCCCAACAGATGGATAATAGACAGTTAGAAAATATTTGGGTTACGTCATGGCAGAAGTGCGTTTGGAACAGGGAGTAAGCAGAGCACTTCTTGTTTATTTCGGAGGAGGGATGACCAGCTCTAAAAAGTGTTGCGAATCCTGGTGTTTGCAAGTTCAGGAAGTCGGCGCAGGTTGCTTTTTGGAAGTCGAGCATAAGGGAAGTTGCCCTTGCTAACACTTTGCCAGCTGGCTGTCTCGTGTGATGAACACAAGGTTTCTCCTGACAGCTTCCTGAGCGTCTGGCGCAAGACTCAGGACGGGTTGTCTTTACAGTAGTTCATGCTGTGTAGTAAGGCTGGCGTGAGAGGCTTTCTTTGAAAGCAGGAATATGCACTTTTTGCTTTATTCTTGTTCTGTAATTGAAGGTTTAGTTCCTTTAAGAAAATGTGCCTTTTTCACCTTTCCCCTTTTAGAGCGTTGGACTTCAAAGGGTGTGTCAGATAAAAGCAAAAATAAAATCCTCTCTGTATGTTGTTCCTTTCTTGATGAAACGATTAGTCAACAGTTAATTTACACTTCCATCTGGCTCAGGGCTGACTTATTAATTGTATTGTACCATGCTTTCACAAAAAGCACACTGTCTTCATGGATGTAGCACTGCAGAAGTGCAATTTTGTTTTTAAATTTAAGAATTCAGCAGTTAGTTTACCTGATCAGGAATGTAATCCTAATTATTGTAGCATCATTCTTATTTTCATGATTATTCCTTTTGATCTTTGTTTAAAATTTATCTGTTCCTATGTGTGTTTTTGTGTACATGTCTATGATTTTGAATTGACTTTTTTGGTATTATTTTTCCCCTTTGCTTTCCATTAATCACTAGTAAAATTTCTGAGGTCTTATAGCTTTCAAGAGAATACTGCTTCACATAGTGGGTTGTGTGTTAGTATGTTTCTTTAACTGATGTTCAGTTCAGATTGCAGCGAAAGTGTTGCTGCTTAACATGAGTTCAAGGGCATTGAGAGAGATGGAACGTTTTTCTGTAGTTTGGATATTCAGTGGTATATGTGATTGTTTAACTTTAAAGTACTAAAACACTAAACTAAAAAATGAAGTTGCACACCACTGCATGTTTCCCATTAAAGCATTAATGTATTTTACTTAAGGGTTATGTTTATGGTAGCATAATTTAGGTTGGGGTTTAGCTACCACACTGTTGCTAGATGTGTGCAGTTGAGTGTTCTTAATCCACACCAATGTATCCCAGCAAATTACACTTGAGAATCACTGTAGATTAAACCATGGTAAAATGTTTTTATCTTGGGTAGAATTAAAGAATGTTCTCCAGTATTTGGAGGTAGACAAGGTGCTATTTTAAGGTGTCTAAAGTTAGAGAGATTTCTGTATTTGAGTGGCTACAGTGTCCTCAAATTCTGTCAGTGTTGAGTCCTGTGCTTTTTCTGTTCAGAGCATGCTGGGATATAGGCAGAACTGCAAGAGCTAACTTTATCCCATCTGGAGAAGAGAACAGTGTTTCCCTTTGCTGGGAGCAATAAATACTTCAGACATTGATGCCAGTCATACAAACAGACTTTCATAACGCAGCCTGCCAGAGGCAGTATTATTCATTTATTCAGTTGATATTTTTTATCCAAGGTCACTTTCAGTGGCAATTGTGCGATTGCCCATTTCTAGAGAATTTAAGTGCTGGAGCAGTCTGGGTGCAGTATCTTGCTCAAAGGCACTGCAGAAGCATTCCCACCTGGCATTCGAACCCATGACCCTGCAGTCAGGTGTCCAGAGCTAGCAGCCAGAGGCTGCCAGCACTCTTTCAACCATCTTGCATACAGTGAAAAATAGTCCTATTTAAGGCAGCCTGCCTTTCTTTGGAGCATATGTCATTTCTGCATGTGTGGAAGACATGACTTTCCCTATAGCTCTATATACTTCTGCAGCAGTCTGTACATTTAATTATTCAACAAAATTGGCCTTGGAATGACAAGTAGAATGTGAGGTCAGGACTGTTGGAGGTTTGAGGACATGTGATATAAACTTTTTTGTATTGCTCTTTTATTATATATAAAGGTACTTCTTATGTGCCATAATTGATAGATATATAACTACCCTCCAAAATTAATAATGCATTCTTTTTATTACATTCTAAAATAGACCTCCTATATTTTGTCATTTGTCAGCATCACATGTGGAAAAGGGCTATATAAATATTTCAGTACCTTATAAGATATTCTCAACCCACAGTCCTAACCAGCTTTACAACAAAGCAAAAATGTCTTCTTTAAAAATAGATGGTTTGGCTCATTCTTTCGTAGCTTTTATGGACCTTGTCTTAAACATGCATGAATATTAATTGGAAACACTAGTACAAGACACAGGCAGCTCCAAAGCCAGTCATACATGGGGAAACTGTGGAAGAAAATGAAATGTAGTAGTATTCAGGAACAAGTGCTGCACCTTTTAAAGTGTTGCTTTAAATTATATGTTTTGTTGAACATATGGTCCTAAACTTTTTATTTATTACTTAAAATTGGTAGGTGAAAAGTTGAAAACATTTCTTGCATTCATAGGGTAAAAGCTCAAACTGAATTAGTCTTATAACTGAATTACTCACTACAGTTTATAATTAACTTTCTCTGGATGCATTTAAAGTTCTTGCTAAACATTCCAGCTTATTCTGAACAGAAGTGTCACTGGGCATCTTAATTTGTAATGATCACAAATTAGACATGAACTGCAGCCCTCAATCTTGCAGTGTCCAAGCTGTCATTGACTGATGTATACAGTCTGCATTCATTTTAATGAACGTCATGACTCCCAACAGTGAAATAGTCCATATTATGGTAGTTTCCACTGTCCTGTTAATTTCCTTTTGTGTCATAACTCTGGGACTAAAATTCCTTCTCCACCTCTCTCTATTCGTTGAACACTTGAGTATCATGTAGGAATCTGTTCTTGTTGACCCATTAACCAGTTAACATACAAGAGCAAATGTTGCACTTGTTGACTTACCCAAGGAGCAATAACTCAAGTGGTCAAACGTCTGTTTTCCGGCTGGCTTGATAAGTATTGAAGTTGACGATATCTCCAAGGCGCTTCTGCTCCTCTGGGTGAGGTTTTAAAATTGTGCTCAGCTGGTGCTTTGTGTGCAGAGTCTGCTTACTTGCCCGCAGTGTTTGCCAGGAGAACCCATGTGCGCCTGTTACCTGGCCTACTGTATCTGAAATTCCCGCCATCGGCACTCGTCTGACTGGGGTAAAGGCTGTGGAGTCAGAATGGAAGCTGCCCTCCTCAGGATCCCCTCTGAAGGCTGTCAGAGGGGCACTGACACGCGTCGCGTTCTTGGTGTTAATTGGTTAATCAGGTGCTTTTTGTGCCGGGGGGGAAAAAACATTTTGTAAATTTAATTTTTCACCCCCACGTATCTGTTCTTCCATCGCATTTGTTTCTCCGTGTAGTTGGACCATGTACGTTTTCCCATCCTTGTCAAAAGAAAAGACTGTTAAACCTGTACTAATTTTATTTTCTGACTTTTTAAACTGAGGATGTATATTTTAAAAAACAAATAAACTATTTTAAAATTTGGGTGTTTTTTTTCCCCCGTCTTTTTTTAAATACAGTACACAGAGCAGAAATGTGGTTGTACCGTCGTGGAAAAGCTCTCGTTTCTTCATGCTGCTCAGGGACGATTGCAGCAGGTTGGCTGCCTTGAAGATTGCATCACGTCCCCTACCTTTAACTGAGTCCTTTCATCTAACAGATGTGCTGCAAAAGAAATATGACTGTTCATTCCTAGATTCAAGAGATGCTAGAAGCACATCTGTTCTTCCTGTCTACTTTAAATAGACCTGCAGACCCCTTTCCCCACCAATGCCGATGACCTGTGCAATATAAGAAACCCCACTTTTCATTATTTTTTATTACAAGTCTAGGAAATGAGATCTGTAAAGCCATAATAAAAAAAAAAGATTTTTTTTTTTCAGATATCCTGAACTTCTGTCCTGCCCAGGGTGTACCCTGCCTTGTGTGAGTTGCATGCTTGGATAGGCTCCATCTCCCCCATGACCCTGGATTACACGGAGGTGAAGTGGTGAGAAAATGGTAGTTGGTAGAAAGTAATCAAATACGAGAAAACAAGAAAGTTATGGTTCTTCAGAAATGCAGAGGATCTGTAGAGATTTTGAAAGTAATCGGAGCCCATCTCAGTTTGCAGTGTGAAAGTACAGATCAGTGTGAAAGTACAGAAAAAACAAAATCCGACCAGTGTCTCGAAATGAAAATCCTGATTTTGTATGGAAGGATCTTAAGTCTTGAAAGCTAATGACTGATCTTGGCTGGTAACCTCCGTGCATGCTTCTTTTCGCACATGTGCTGCTCATGTGGACACGTTGAGCCTTCTCCGCCATTTATCTTCTTTGCAGTTCCAGCAGCTGAACCATCTGTGTGTTCCCTCTACCGGCTAGCAGAGCGCTCAAGTTCCAAAGCCTTGGGACGATGCAAATTCCTAGAGCTGTTAATGTGATTGCAGTTCTATAATGCGAATTGCATAAGAGTAAAGCCATTATTTAAATTTGATTTCCATTCTTGGGGAAGGTTACCTGCACTGTTGCAGCAAATTTTTGATGACAGAAAACTGGAGTGATTAAATTCTCTCCATTTTGGTAAAGAGATCAGTATCCATACTGAGTGAGCTGTGAACCACACAGCATGTTAGGCTGCCATCTGGTGGATAGTGCTCATATGCTCTTAGCTGAGAATCGGATATACTGGTCCCCATTACCTGAAAAGTGTTTTGGGTGGAGTGTCCAGAAAAGCGCTGTAAGCTATTGCTATTATTATTATTATTATTATTATTATTACTACTTAGTTTTGTTCCATTGCAGAGCTGCACACCCTGCAGAAATCCAGAAGCCTTAAACTGAGCTAAGGCTATAAAAAATGTTAAGCACGCCTATTTGTTGGTCTCCCAGTTCAGGTAACATTGGTCCTCTTATAGTGGATATCCACACCTCCCCATAGTTAGTTTTCATTTATAGAGGCGGAGACTTGCTTCTGTTTTTGGTTTGGCTGCTGAACAGGATATTTAAAGTGCTGAAAGGAGATCCGCTGTGCTCAGGCTGAGGTTTTCCTGGGAAGTGATGCATGCCTTCGAAGCCCCCGACTTCTCACCTCTCAGCACTGCTGCCTCTGTGCAGGCATGTCTGAACACTGCCCCAGAAAGAGCTCATGTCCATTTTCATGTATGAACTTGTCCTCTCGAGACTGGCTAGTGTTCTATCCATGTTACAGTCCCTACTGCCATTCCTCTGCCTGCCTTGCTTATATACAATCAGCCAGGCTCGGGGTTTGTCCCTGCAGCCTAGCAACAGGGAACTGGATCGAGGATGCTCCATTAATTATAGAGCGCGCTTTGTGAGAGTATTATTTTAGCTTCCGCAGAGCTGCACCTGTCAGTGGGTGAGGAGAATGGCCCTGCAGGAATGCTGAGGCACTCGGGTCAGCGTTCGAGAGGCTTTGGGCAAAGACCTTTGCGTCCTGCAGTGTCTCACGGCCGTGCATTTCAAGGGCAGGAGGGTTCGTAAGGAAATCGGCGAAGGAGCTGGTCTGAACGCCCGCCTCTCTGAGCTCCTCGCCGCCGGGAGGCGCGGCAGGGGGCAGCGGCGACGTGCAGACGCTGCTCCTGACCCCAGACGCTGACGCCACACAAGCCTGACCGCGGCAGGCGCGTCTTGAACCTGATCCCGGAGAAAGAAGTGGCGGCACCCGATTCCCTCTTTATTTTTTTGCTGAGCTTTACCCAGTAAGAAGTAGGAGTGATCAGACACGTCACAGAGGAGACTGCAGCGAGGGCACCATGGTGGTCGGGTCTGGTAATCTGCCTGTCCTGAGGGGGTGACCGGGGACGAAAGCAGTTTCTTCTCTGGGTTTTATCCCCCACTGTAGCAGCGTTGTAGCAGATCACCTCTCGCGCAGCTGATGTGCTCTGACAAGGGTTTTCAGATCCCAGACCTGACCTGCTGTCTGAAAAGACAGTGTCAGCTCTGAATATGTTTTCGTATTTACTCTGGATTTACTGGCACTAACATTAAAGGCAACCAGGACCTATTCCAGCAGAGTGTGGCGGTTAGCAGGACTGCACCCTCATGGGACTCCAGTCCACTCAAGCGTGCACACTCACACTAGAGCGGAGAGGAGCCCCACGCAGCCGCGGGCAGAGCAAGACTCCACACAGACGGCAGCATCAAACCCAGGACTTGAGAGATGTGGAGCAGTAGCAGCATGAGGTCCTTCTCTCTCGATCAACATTGAGAAGGACATTGAAATTGCAGGACGCCCGTTTTTTTGCCAAAAGCCTCTCGAACGCTGACCCGAGTGCCTCAGCATTCCTGCAGGGCCATTCTTCTCACCCACTGACAGGTGCAGCTCTGCGGAAGCTTAAATAATACTTTTGCAAAGCGCGCTCTATAATTAATGGAGCATCCTCGATCCAGTTCCCTGTTGCTAGGCTGCAGGGACAAACCATGAGCCAGGTGTTCTATTTCCTGTTCCTCAGCCCCCACCAATTCACATCCCTGCTTTTTCCAAAGGTAGGCAGGCAGGCAGATATCACAGCCAAGGAATTACAGAAGGGACAAACTAATCTGGGCATAACGCAAGCCTTAACATGGTTAATATCTGAGTCACAAAGGAAGAGCAGGTATAGAAGTTAAAGCTTGAAATGATGAAGCTTTCCATGATGCGTTGAACTTTTACACTTGGTAGTCTGAAAAGAAAACATTTTCATATTCATGTTCTTTCATTCAGCAGAGAAATCTGTAATGCAACTTTTACAGGCATTCTGCAGATTTTATTAAGGTATAAAGATGCTTGCCAGAGAACGTTATTCTACAACCATTAGCAGGTTTTGTAAAACAGTATATAGTTGACCTTTTTCTCTTACGATCCTGAATGTATTTCATTCACACAGCTGGAGAAAGGTATCGTACTGAGAGTACCACACCACACTGGCTGTGCGGCTTTGTAGTTTTATGGTGATGCTCATCCGCACAGTGCTCAGGTAACCCAGCAAAAGCAATGCGGCAGAACAAAGGCATCTTGCACACAAAAGTGTAGAGACACTTTGATACTGATGAGTGCGTATAAGTTGCACCTTTGTACTGCAAATAAGGACAAATCACAGTGGGAGCTTTCAAAATGGTTCACTTTCATGTGATGGGAAAGTAGAAAACAGAAAAAAAACTGATCAAAACAAAAGTGATGAAGATACTTTGTGCTGAACTAGAGTCTGTTCTCCCTTTCCTACCAGCTAACTCGGTATCGATGGTATTTTAACATTTGCTGGGGATTTGTTTTTTTCTTTTATACACATAAGCACAGGACAGGTTTTAGTTTTTAGTGTCTGTATGAAACTGTTGTATTTTAGTCATGTTGATTTTATACCACACAGTGCAATATTCACTGCTATAGACTAATAGGAATCTGCCCAGTGCCAAGTCATTAATATGCTTTGTGGTGAAGACCAAAAAAAGACCGGGCATGTTTCACTTTCCCGTGTTTCTCTCTTTCCGGGAGAGAAGCCTTAGCAGATTGTTCCAATGGAGGGGGGTGATACACAGTCCAGGCAATGACTGCAGTTTTACAGTGAAGTGTTTCCCTCCCCCTCCTCCAAGCCTAGCAGTGGAAGCACCCGGGCAAAGAAGACACCCCAGTCTTTTTCTTAAGAAGATGTAAATAGGTTTATTCTCTTAGCCGACATTCACAACATTAACTGCATGTAGTTCTTATACGTCAGAGGCTATTTCATATGGTTCCATAAGTTTCTATTTTTATAGACTGTACATCTTTAAAATAAATAATTCACTCTTAAGTCACTTGGTGTTCAGCGTTTGTGCCTTTCCCGTTGGCTGTGTACAAGCGCTACACATCCTGCCCGGCGACTGTCGTGAGGCTCACATCTCGGTCTCAGCCAGCAGGCTGTCCCCCAGGCCCGACGTCACCAGGACCATCTGGGAGCTGGAGTCTGCAGGGGCGACAGGGGAGAGCAGTGAGCCGCCTGTTCTCTGTCGCAGCTTCACAGCTTTTGGAGTTGTTACCTTTCTCATTAAAGACAAAGTATAACAAGTCACGAGGGGAGGTAAGAGGAACAATACTGCATATTTTCCAGTTTAAATAATTACAGCCGGATAGTTCAGGTGGGGAGCTGCGTCAGCATGCATAGGCTGCAGAGGAACAAGTGATGGGTTTATTCCCTGCTGAAAAGAGAAGGAAAGAAACCCAACGCTTCGGCCTTAAGAAGGCTTCACGGCTGAAAGGTTGTGTTTCTTTTCTTCTTATCTGCATGGAATAAACCTGTACTTGTTCCATTACACCAGTATGCCCCACACCTGTGATGTTTTACTTGCTTGAGTGTTGTCCTAAGACAAAGGCAATATGCCTGGCTCGTGTGCCTCTGCAGCCAGGCTAGCTCTGGCCCACCCTTACTGCCTGGTGAGAGCCAGGTGGTCTTCTCCCTGGCTGGCCCCCCGGTGCCCCGCGCCGCCCCCTCGTCGTCCTCCTCCCCCTCCGACAGCAGGTCAGAGATCTGCTGCTGCAGCTCGGCGCTGATGTCGTTCTCGGCCAGCACCAGCATGCGCAGGCACGTCGGGTAGTTCTCCACCATGTCCAGGAAGATCTGTGGGAGAGAGGGTGTCTCGTCAGCGGGGGGCTCTCGGACCCCTCTATCCCCGCGGTCCGGACCACGCTGGCTCCAGAACGGCCTCTCGTCTGAGCGTGACATTCTCAGACAGCAGCTCATCACGGTACATTCTGTCACGAGCGTGTATCACACGTTTCTTTGCCACATGTGCCCTTTTCATTCCGTCCTGTCTTTGTTCTCTTCTCGGTCAGCCAGGGCTGTGCTTCGATTATAAAAAGCCCTGGAAAAGGACTTTGTTTGAGAGCAGAGCAGACTGTTGGATTGGCTGTTTGAATAAGTGCCTTCTCATGTCCGTTGGGGAGCTGGGGAGCTGGGGGGTGAGAGGCTATCTCTCACTGGTAGCACGCAGGCCTTGCTGGGCACAAGAGCTCGCAGTGTTATCGGCGAGAGGAGCGCTGCACCTCCAGGTGGAGCTCACTCTCCTGGAAGTCCCTGTGTGGCTGACAGGTGTGTCTGGTGACAGGAGTTCAGCCTGGGGCTCTCCAGATGCGAGAGGTGTCAGAGCCCTTATTTTAAGAAAAAAACTGTCTCTCTGACCTGTGGCTTATACCCATCCACATTTCTTTACAAGTGCACATGGCCAGGAAAGGTCATCCTGAGCCAGAGTGTAACCCAGCACCGGTGACCTCTATCCCTCATTCACCAGTCTTCCCCAGAATACCCTCGAGAGGGCTAGCTAGCTCCGGCAAGCTGAGACACAAAAGCCCCTCAGCCTGGAGAGACCCCATGCCTGTGCTGAACACTAACAACAGCGCGCTGTCAAAAAGTGTTCACGAACTTGTGCCTGGTTCCTTCAGCTTTTGTCCTCTGGAAGATCAAAAGCTGCTTTTTATCATTCTCAGAAATTTAACACACAGGGAGGTGAAACCACATGACAGCTCAACAGACCCCCCTGGAATATTTCTGCTGGCAGGTCACGGGACCTTTAGAGCGTTGCTTTGTAAAGGCCGGCAGACAGTCAAGGACTTCCTGACCGCGTTACAGAAGCGCATCTTTTCCACCATTGACATTCAGGCTCACCTGCCACTGCTACAAAGAGAAACGGCCGTGATTCCCTATAGACACACTGGGCTGAGATCAAAGAGACAGCGGAGGTTTTCCAGCTGAAGGGGTTGTTTGATATGGAATTTTCAACCTTGTACTAATTTCAGGCCCTGAAGGTTCTACCTCATTTGTGTACACATGAAAGACCTCATACACTCAGCTGTGGGAACTATTTTGACACTGAGATATCTGCTCACTGTCCAGCTCTACAGCGCTAAAACACTGCTGCTGAAAAACCGCACTCTTGAGGCACAAGCACACAGCTCCACCTAGTGGCAGCTGTACGGTATGTCTACGTGCTCTAAGTGCTGTATTCCCCCTTTATGGTTCTCAGACATAAAGCCTGAAAGACATCTTTATGAGCGTGTTTATTTAATATTGTAATTGCTAATTATTCAGAATATGTTCCTAATCAATCTGGAATCATCAATTGGGATTTTATGTCTTGGCTCACAGCAATAATCCTAAGAACAAGAACTCCCAAGCATTTTTGGTTACACAGAGAGTTGTGGGGGTCTGAAACAAGTTATGAGGCCATGTTGTTGGATCCAATACCCTGGCTTCTTTCAAGAAACAACTGGATGAGTCCCTCATATCGCCCAGCTGTTAGTAACCAAAGGAGGTAGATGGGCCAATTGGTCTCCTCTTCCTTGTAAAACCTTTCTCATCTTGAGACCATAGTATCCACATGAGGAGAAAGAGGAGATACACCCCCCCTTTCATACTATTCATCTTTTTCACTTTGTTAAGATCTGCACTGATGTTCAGAGCCAGCTGGAGGAGTGCTGCATCCCCCCGGCCCCATCTCCAGCAGCCCTGAGCCAGCTGTGTGCTGCTGCCTGAGCACTCCAGTCACAGCTGTGTGCTGCTGCCTGAGCACTCCCAGTCACAGCTGTGTGCTGCTGCCTGAGCACTCCCAGTCACAGTCGCTGGTGATGTTAGTCAGTTGTGTGCTGCTGCTTGTGCACTCCCAGTCACAGTGGGCTGGTGACACAACCCAGGATCGAACTCATGATGTCTAGATCACAGAACTCAGCCTGTGCACTAGAGATCCACTTCAGAGATCACATTTTCCACCCATACTGCTCAAATCCACAAAGCGACACACTGAACGAGTACATCTGTGGAGCCATCATACAGTATGAGAACAGGGGATGGGTCACTTCATCACACGGACATTGTGGCTTTCACTGCCGCTGTCACTGGGCTTAGCGAGGACGGGGTTCTGACCTGTGCGGACTGGTTGGTGAGGCCTGTTCCCTCTAGATCCAGTACCTCCAGAGTCCGGCTCGAAGCCACGGCGACTGCCAGCATCCCAGCGATCTGGTCACCTGGAAACCAGCAAGCAAAGTCTAAACTCGGAGAAGCTGCCCTGGGCAAACTGAAACAATGTCAGGCTTTCGTTTTCGACCTAAGTGCAAGGTGGCTCTTTATGATCTGTGCAACTAGCTAGGCCTGTAAGGCAAGATAGCTGACCACTGAGAAACATTATAGGCATTTTTTATTGCTGCAGCCCTTGACAGCTCTACTTTAAAACTGAGTTTGTTGGGATAACAGGATTGTTGTGTTAAAAAAAAAAGTACAAACCCTGTCACTTTGGTATCTACCTTGCTGTTTCACATAGCATTGTTGATGGACAAGATCTCTGTTATTAAGAAGCAGCGTTAGGCTTTGATCCGACAGAACTCTGTTGTCATGGAGACAGAGTGTGAGGGCTTCCTCAGCCATTGCAATTAAACACTGGAGCCTCGGGAGACCTCTGAGCGACAAGGCGCAGAAAATACTCTTATCTGTCTTGGTCAAACTACGCGCCAGCACCATCAATCTTCAGAAAACCTTTCTGCCTGCAGGTCTTTTATTTTGTCTAAAAAGAAATCCTTTCACGCTGACCAAAGTATAATTCGAGAGCTGTTTGCGAAAAAGCAAGAAGCACTTGTCATGAGGAGCCCAGCACAAACGCCGGCTTTGGAATGTCGGTGTGGCGTGAATGTCAGAGAAGACTGCTGTCGTCTGGTAATGGAGGCGAAGACTCTCCATGGCTTGGAATTTTATAACCTGATGCTAAATCTGTCCTGTTTTGGGGTGGCGAATTGTGACAGTAAGGACAGATGCTCTCTGTCTTGAAATGTCCTGTGTCATCAGCAGTCTCATAGACTCTTTAGGCCAGAGTCAACAGTGCACTGCCAATACGATGCACTGGGAGCTTTCAGCATGACCCCGTTATCCATCCATTTTCATCCACTGTGCAAGTCAGGCTCCTGGGGGAGCCGGAGTCTATCCTGGTAAATGGGTGAAAAGTGGGGTGTCGCCTGTCCATCTCAGGCACACACACACCAGGGCCAGTTTTCACCTACCAGCATGTCTTTGGAGTCTGAGAGGAAACCAGAGCGCTGAGAGTACTGTCATACCCATGTAATCACAAGATAGACGTACAAGCTCCACACAGACAGCACCTCAGGCTTGGATTTGAACCCAGGGCCTCAGAGCTGTGAGGCAGCAATGCCAGCCACTGCACCACTGTGCTGCCCATGATCCTTTTACCAATGCTATTTTACTAACAGATGACAGAGGGGTTTGAGCACAGTACCCAGGCTGCAGACAGAACTCCTCTGTCTTCTCCACCCTCATTAACTGGATGATAAAGGGCTACTTCAGCTGTCCGGCCTCTCCAGAGCTCATTCGCTCTCGTCACTCAGCCTGGTGGCCTCTTTAAGACCTTCCTCTCTGGTCCATGAGGGGGTTCAAGAAGAATGTCAAGGGCTCTGCTTGAGGACAGCACCTGTCAGTGCATCATTTGTGCCGAGTCTGAAACACACACTGAAATCAACCAGAGAGAGGACAGCTCCGCAGAAAGCTTCACCAGAGGACAGCAAATCCTAACAACAGATGTGAAATCTGACCAGTGTGGATGTGAGACCTGATGAAAAGTGGGAAGCAGGTTCGGGCTCTATGAAGACTGATGAAGCTGTAAAAGCTCTAGGCTTTCCAGGCAGACGCTGTTTAGGTCATAGCAAAGGAGGATTCACGGCAGCCATATCCAAACACAAAAGAGTTGATCTGAAACCAAAAGAAACCTCCCGTCTTTTCTCCGCAGTCTGCTGTTCGTGTGTCCCAGCAGAGCCGCGGACCGGGCCCTTACCCAGGGGGTTGTAGTCCAGATTGAGGACGCGCAGCTGGGAGCTGTGAGCCACGGCGATGGCCAGGCGCGCCCAGCCCTTGGAGGTGATGGCGGGGTTGGCGCTGAGGGTCAGCTCCTTCAGGCCTGCGGGCAGACGGGCACTGTCACTTCCCCTGCGGTTTACTGCAGAGGTGTTTCTGGAAACGCCTTCCTTTTGTATATGGTTGTGGAAAGATTTTCACACCTAAAGTCAATTAGGGTTAGAACTATCTAATACTCATGGCTGCGGTTCAGGACATGGTTAGTGTTAAGTGTGCTATAAGAACAGAGTTAGGGTTAGGGTTAGAATTGTTGTTGGAGTTTTGTCTAGTGTTTAGATTATGCTTATGGTTAGGGTCAGAGTTAGGCCTAAGATCCTAATGCTTAAATTATCCTTAATATTCACGTAATCATAATCTTAACATTAACCATGACCCTAAACCTAATCTTACTGGTAAGCCTTTTCCTAGCCCTAACCCTGTATGGGTCTGTGTCTCCAGAATAAAAGGAGAGAGTGGATTTGCTACGACATCTCCACTTACATCAGTTCTGTTGACCTCTAGTTCTGCTTCTACTGTTTAGAATGAAGAGTGCTCCAATTTAAAATAATTATGTATTTCAATTTGATGTGATCTTTTTAGACAGGTTATGCTAGAATATATGCTGGAATATACAGACCTGAAAACACTTCACAAATGTAATTAACCTGAGACTCCACTGAAATGGACTAGGCTGCAGGTGCCTACCATCAGTCCTCAATGCCTAAACAAACTCTGCCGCACAGCGCAGGTCCCGACAGAGCCTGCCGCTTAATGTGTCGCTCCTGCTCTCGTTGCCTTTTGAGGATCTTGTTTCACAAAGTCGGCATCTTTGCCGAATTCCTCAATTTATGTTGCTGTTTGTCACAGTCCTGCCACACATTACGTGATTACCAGGCTGATGCACATGAGCGGATGACACATGAGCTAATGCATCTTTCCTCTTCCATGCATCAGCTTGCGTCTCTGAACCGTTCTTGCGTGTGTGCCCTGCAGTGGCCTGACGTTCTTATTTCTCTGCAGATTTTCTGATTAGCTGTTAGGAAGTTACTGGGCTAGAGACTGGGGGCAGCTGCCGCGAGCTCAGGAGATAGCCACTGACCTACAGTCCGCCATGCTCAGACGAGGCGCACAATCCCGAGCCGATACTCCCCACTGCCATAGAATAACAAGGGATGACAACACTGTAGCTTCAGCCCATAGCAATGGTCATCACATCCATTGGACAGAGCGAAGTGATCAAGGCAGGCCATGTTAGCAGAGCAGCTTTGCTTACCTGATTTGGCTCCGTCCGGAGGCAGCATGCCACAGATGATCTGCACCCCCTCGTCCCCGAGCATGCAGTCGCCCAGGTCCAGCGACACCAGCGAGGGGTGTGTGGACAGAGCAGTATTGAGAGCCGCCAGCCCGGCATCCATCAGCGGGCTCCCGTGGAGACTGCAGAGGAGAGACAGGAGGGCTGATCGAGGGAAGGGACGCCCCACCACACCCTTGTCTCCGGGGATTCGCCCCAGCTTAACTGGATCGGGGGTTTGGCGACCCTCCCCATCGGGAAACAGCAGTTGTGAATCAGGTGGGATCGCTGCAACCCCTACACTTGTGCCCACACAGGAGGAACAGGCTGTGCTCAGGAAAGCCTGCTGCTGGCCACCGGCCATTGGACACGCTGTGAGCCACTGACAGCACGGCCAGCACCAGGGGCCACGGCTACCTGCCTCAAGGCCACTCATCCAGCGGCACCTGGCCAACTGCAGGACACCACATGGGAAACCCCAGTTTCCCGTGAAACTCTGACCACTGTCTGTAGGTTGAAGTGCAGCATGCTTTATCAAGGCCTGTAAGGTGTCCGTGCCAGGGGAGGCCCACTAGACACGGATTTGTGCCGCCTGTGTCCCCTACGGGCTCGATTTAGTGCAGGAGGTCCTTCCCACTCAGGAAGTGGGGAGAGTGAGAGCCACAGACCGGCAGAAAGCTCTGTTTGGGAAGGGATGAGCTCCGCTTCGTGAGATCTTTGCCCCATTGCCAGACATTGTGTGAAATGACACTCCTGATCCACAGCTCTTGACCTTGGAGTGCAAGGGTCACTACAGCCTGATCACACCGTGGTAAAGGTCGCCTCTCGCACTGTACCCATCTGACACTACTTCCGTACCTCTGAGCCCACCTGCTGCTGCTCAACAGTGTCCCCCCGTCCCCCCCAGTGGGCTGTGGGAGTCTGGGAGAAGATACCAAAACCGCCTCACGGAAAGGGTTCCATTACTGTAGATATTAACAACCAAACAAGTGAGAGCGGACCTTACTTACTGCGATTTGCCCGACACTTGTAAGATTTAGTGCTGAGATTTGCACAGTAACAGTATAGAAAGATATTCTGATTTTAGGGGCAGAGAGGTAAAACCGACTGAGCTGACAGTAAGAAATCTCCTAATTGTACCGGAGAAAAAGATCAATGATCAGCGATTTCTAGAGACAAAAAAAACTCTGAATTAGTCCCAGGTTGCAGCATCTGACGTGCAGTACTTGCTTGTTAGTGTATGAAAGACTGGTGTAGTGTGAATAATCAGTAAACAGAAATCTATTTCTGCATGCTCGCCTTTTTAACTTTGATTGCATGTACTTAAGATGCAGACCAGCAGCAACTGCAGACCCTGGTTTGCATGACGTGCAGTTAAAGAGCTCAATATGGGATCGGTGTGGCAACATGCAGTGGACTCACTCCGTGAGACGTTTAAGCAAACACCAGGCGATCGCGCCGGCGGTACTCACAACAGAGCCTGGATGGACCTGTTGGCCTGCAGCGCCTCGGCCAGCTGCTTGACCCGGCCGATGCTGGAGACCACGCCGAGGTTGAGGTTGAGCTGAGCCACGGAGTGGCAGTCGGTCAGGCCGCGGCACACCCGGCCGAAGTCGCGGTCGGACAGCTGGCAGCCCCTGACCGACAGCAGCCGCACGCTGTTCTCCTTCAGGCTGTCGCAAATGTCTTTGATCTCGGCTCCCGAGAGGGCTTCTCCCGTGATCTGAATAGAGCCCGGCAGCATGTCGGGACCGGCGCCGGGGCCCGGAAGATAGCGTTGCAACCCACAGCCGGGCGCAGAAACCTTATTGCATGGCTTTTTATCTTCGGATGCAAGAGAGGGCTAAAGCTGACCGGTTGCCTTGTAAGTTTGACGAGCCTCCACACGCCCCGGTTTAGCGCAGCCAGGCAAACGGCATGGTCTGTGCGATTCGACTGCCTAATTTATACCACAAACACCGGCCGGTGGGAGACGCGACTTCGGGCATTCGGGCTGCGGTTTAATTCATCGTCAATGCCAGGTCACATCGTTTCCCGCAACCGGGACGCGGGTGATCCCCTGCTGCAGTGAACCGGGTTTGGACGCGGTTCCCGACAGCCGGCGTCTTCGGGCGGCCCGCGGTGAATTCAGCCGTGTATCACTTCCCTTGATGAATTATGCATGCGACCTAGCTTACGGCGGCGTTTAGCTATGCTAAATAATGAGGTGTCCGCCTCCCAGAGTCTCCACTTCGGGTTCGCATGTAAATATCCCCGCTGGGAGACGGGCGCCCCGTCATGCCGGAGCTGGTGCCTCAAGAAGACGGAGGTTTGTTTGCAGGCGCTGCGGGTGTCGGTTACTATGGACACGGTGCCGTCAGTGTCCCCTCGTCTTCAAACATGGCAAAAAAAAAGCACGTAAGAACCTCCCCGATCTTTCACGTACAGTTTATCGCAGGCAGGCCGTTTCCACGGGCATTATTAAAGTGCACGAATTACCCGTGCCCGTACACCACAGACGCTGCCTTCCCTCGCCGGACTGCCTGCGATGTTGCGCTACCTAGCAGAAACGCAGGTCTGTGCGTGTGTCCTGGGGAGAGAGACGAGCCGGAGCAATAGATGTAACAAGTGCACCGGGTGACAAGTGGCTGCATCTTATTTTACCGCTATCAGGTGTGATTAGTAAGGTCTGGTTTTAACTTCTGCCTTAAGTAGTTTAACGCCTGTTAAGTAGGCTGCAGTAAGTTACAGCTTCCACCCTGCAAATTCTAGAGCACATAAAGCATAAATCTTAAAAGGGTTGAAAACATAAAAAAGAGACATTTTAAGATTTGCATTTGCATTTAAAAACATGTTGATAATCTTCATATAGCGGCCTATTTTACAAACTGCAGTACTACTTTTAAACAGAATTCCTTGTAGCCCACAAACCTTTCCATGCTGGCCTGGGTTCATCGTCCCACAGCACAATAACAGCATTAAATATGAATCCTACCTGAAGGCTAAATGTCTCCCAGTGCAGCTTCAATAAAAAGCCAGATAGGGTAATTTGAGAGAATGTCTCTGCACAGTAAGTGGATTTGGTTGCAGATTTATTTGATGCCTCTTGTGTCTGCTGGTAAGGTGAGCCCTGTGCCCTATGTCATTCCTCTTTTGTTAAGTATGCCACACCAACCAGGTACGGTTCCCATCGCTGTGCCACCTCACACCCACCAGAGAGCTAGGTAGAGGCCTCCTGAACTGAACTCCATTGTAGTCTGAGTGTTAGTGAAATAGAATTTAGGATTTTTCTTTGAAATGCATTTTATTTTTGCTTTTTTGCAAAATACCAATGCATTTAGTTGATTAAACCATTCTGTCTATGGTTTAAACCTTCTTGATTTGATCTTTGTAGAAGTCTATGTTAAATAAAACTGCAACAACATACAAGATTCTTATACTTTATTTTATGTACAGTACATACATTATACTATATATACACAATAGGAAAAAAGAAGAACATTACTTTTACATTAAGTTCCCACCCCCATCTAACTAAACTATTAAATTAACGCCCAGTTCTACTATAAACAACAGATAAATTGCTTGGGTCTAAATATACATCAAATGTTTTGACATTAGTCAGACTGCTCTTGATTTTGCATTTTAACAGCCCCGAGTACAAAAAACTAAAAACCTGTCAATTTCTTCTGCCACTGCCTTTCTGCAGTATGCTGCAGTCATGTTTTTCAAATTCTACCCTCCTCCGTATTTCACTTCTTTGTAACAGTTTTCAGACAGCATCTCTAATACACTTTTTTTTCCCCTGCACAGATTTCATGTCATTTGCAACATCCCCAATTAAACTTAATGTAACAAACCCGTGCTTGGAAAAAAGGAAGAAAAAATAAATGGTTAAAAAAACACCTGAAACAAGAAATGCTGCACGAACCAGAAGACATCTAGGCTAAAAAAAGTGTTTTTCAGAAATCTGTGATTCTCTTACGCAGAACTCTGTAAGATCTGGGTTTTGTGGCCTTACTTCTGCTCTTTCAATACACAGAATACACATCACCATGTGACGGTGCTCATGAAATACTTGCTAATAAAAAGTTACTCATTTCTACCCCTGTTCTGCTAATAAGGATATTGTTGATGTTTACGGTTCACATCCGACGTTGAACGGTCTGCTGTTCTTCCTCCCAGAATTCCTGACTGAACTAATGCGACTGCAGAGTGGCTCCGATGCTCTTCACTGTGGCGTTCACCAGTGTGGCCGACATGGCAGGCAGGTCTCGAGCCACTCTCTGAATGGGCGGCACATTGGGACCTTCCAGGGTGTCCAGAATTCCTACAGACATAAAGCAAAGCCTCTGTAGGTCACGGCTTCCTGTCTGGGAATAAGGCACCTCTACCGAGACAGGCTTGTCTCCACTGGAACACAGCAAACTAGCTCAATCGCCGGTTTCCAGTCTGGCAGGGAACAGAACAGCCATACCTTCGACAATCTTGTGATAGGTGAAGTGGAGGTACAGCAGGAAGAGCATGTGCAGGGCTGCGAGGGTCCCGCACAGCAGGAGACGAGGGGTCTGGCCCACGGTGCGGGAAATGAGAGCCGCGACCTGAATTAGGACACAGAGAGGAAGAGGGACGCGCTCACTGGAGACTGACCTGCTACAACACTGACGGTGCACGCAGCTAGTGACGGGGTTCTGAATGGCCTCTTAGTTTTAAAAAGACGTACGCCTGTGCACGTATGTCCGTTTTCAAATCTAACTTTCGGTGTTGGCAACCAAATCGCTTCTGAAATCACCCGACTTAAAAAAGTGCGTGGAGAAAGCTGTTGCGCAGGGTCAGCTACAGGTCATGTGCTCAGGGATGCGTGTTAACACAGCGGTTCCCAATCCCGATCCCAGAGGCCCACACACCTGCTGGGTTTCATGCCAGCTGAGCTCAGTTACCTAACTGAAACATTCACTGACTTAATAAACTGCTGGGTTGGAATATTTGCAAGTATGTTGTTTTTTTTTGACTCGAGAGTTTGGGATTTGATTTTAATTAAGAAATGCGATAGTTAAAAGGCTAAAATCTGAAAACAGTCACACAGTTCTAATTAACCCTGTTATTAAGTCAATCACACATTCAATGGAGTAACTGACAACTTGGCTGGGACAAAAACCAGCAGGTCTGTGGGGCTCCCGACCAGGACGGGGAACCCCTGTGTGAAAATGTTATCTTTTTTTCTGGCAAAAACTAAATTAAATACATTGTCATTTCTAAGATATGCCAAAATCTCCTATACTCCTAAGCATTTTTTTTTTTGCAAAATCATTTGTCCCTTGTGTTCCACAAACTCTTGCTCTCTTGCTCTATGAAATTACATTTTTATGCTTACCCCTCTTTACTAGAGGAAATTAAATAGTCAACCCACCATATTGTTAATGTTTAAGTAGTTGCACTTATCACCACAGATCGCATAGAAGACGGTTTGAAAATAAGAGTGTGTCTATAGTGTAAGCGACTAACTTTAGAATCAGCTACACAAATGATTCTGTTGCTTATACCCTAGCTGAGTAACTGAGCTGAGTACAGTATCTCAGCTGTGACAGTGGCTAACCAGGGTTAACACAAGTTCAGTTTCACTCTAAATTAGAGGTCACAGCAGATAATTGAATTATTCCTGTGCATTCTCTCATTTTAGCTCTATGTCCTCTACCATTTGCATCTGCTGGACTTCAACCCATACAGTTCCCTTCTCCCGTTTCTGTCAAAAATAACAAAAGATGTAATAGATTCCTCAAGAACTTATCCTCACCATCCGCAGCGTGGAGAGCCCCCCGATAACCAACCACAGAATGTAGAAGAGGGAGTGAAAATGGACATTGTAGGTGATGAAGAGAACAAGGCAGTGGCTAAAAAGCCCATAACCCTGTAAAACCAAAGAAGCAAAAAGCGATTTAACAAGAAGATCATTTAGTTGACATTCTTCAAAATGTTTCAGAATGGAAAACAAGTGGACTTGCTGATAACATGAAGAACACATGCAGCACTAAGTACACCCCCCTGAATAAATTAAAAATTAAATTTATCAGGATTTACTCAAAACGTTAATTAACTGTTAATAGTTAACACAGTAAATTAACGTTTTGAGTAAATCCTGATACATAATGTGCAGAGCTGACAAGAACACAAGAATCCTGTAGTGTAGAGCTTTAAGGTTTGTGTCTGTCGGGGAGTACATACCAACAGTGATAACATCTGCAGCATGGTGATCTGAGCATTGGACAGGTAGGCCAGGAAATAGATGAAGGAAGCAACACCGAGCCAGTAGCCAAAACAGGTGCCAATGGCTGTGCCCATCAAGGTGCCCTCTCTCTGTCAGGTGGCAACAAGGTGTTTGTATGTTAAAAACAGACTAGTTGGCAGGGCTTTACTAATAAACACAAGAGCTACTTAACTCTTTCTGTCTCTTTGGATTAAAAAAAAGCAGAATCTGTTGAAATGATCACCATTACATTTAAGAGATATGCGTTTTAAATCTGGTCCTTCAGAGAAATCATTAAATACCAGTGATTACTGGCACTGCTGGAGTTCATACTCCACACTGAAACGACACTGAAAAAGATCCTCTGGGCTGCCATGAAACTATGTGCCTCTTTGATTTTTAGCATTTTTGCAATTCTGCAAGGTTTGGAAAGCTTACAATGACAGTTCCAGATGTCTTCATTCCATGCAGCAAAATCGCAACCAAAGTGAACACCAGCATCAAGGGCCCATACAGCTCCCCAGCAATTTTCTAGTTAGGAGAAAGATAAAGAAATCAAACCCTGCAGTTACAAATGTGCATTACTCTGAAAATATAGTACAGAACATGCAAAAAATGAACTCTCTGCTCTCATTGCCTTCTTTTTACCAGCAGGCCGACAGAACGACTGAGACGGTTGGTTATGAAGAGCCTTCCCCAGCTCTTGATAACACTGCAGCCTAAAGTCTCACTGCGAGATTAATAACCTGTCACCTCAGGTCCCGCCTGGAGATTAGAACTGTAACCAGCAGCCTTAACCTCACCACAAGGTTCTATTAATCACAGTCTCACTGAGAGACGGTGCGAACTCGGGAGTCTTACTGCATGACTGATGATGCCAGACGGCACACAACACACTAGACGAGTCTCCCCTTCAGACCCAGGCAGACAGCAGACACCCCGATGCCCTGCGGGGTTGCTGCTGAACCCAGCTCCCTTGCGGGGTGTTTTACTCAGTCAGGAGTCTCCCCGTAAGGCTGTTTCTCACTGTCCCCCTGACGGTGAGGGTCTAACTCAAACCACTGTAGACTCACTGAACCCTCATATAGGGAAAACCTGCTCCCAGCAGGTGCTGCCAATACCCCAATAAGGTTATGTGCGGACCTATTAGACATTTTCTGAGTATCTGGAGTGTCTTGACTTATCCTAATTCTGACACTCCAGCTACTCGGTTACAACACATTAGCTCCTAGAATCCCATTTCCATATCCTTAATTGTCATTATTATTTCCAGAAACTATAAAGAAACAGCCATACTCAGTTTAGTCATGGTATCAGTTTCTACACTGAAAATGGACAGAAATCGGGGGCTAACTGCTACTTTGAATGCAAAAAAGAAAAATCCAAAACAGTTTATAATGGCCACAAATCTAGTTCAATCTTTGTCTCTTTATTTTTTTCCATTATTTACTGTACGCCATCCCGTTTTTGAGCAGAAAATGTAAAGAAACAACTGCGACACTTATGTTTCTTAATATTAGAGAACATTACTCTCTGTTAAAAAGTACAAAGTTTCGGGGAATCATAGCAGTGCCACTTACCTGTGGAAAGTTAATCATTCTTACAGGAATCAATGATTCTATCAACCTGGAAGACAGTAATGGAGTGAATAAGAAAACTAATTTCAAATACTTCAATGACAACGTTCTGCCAACAGAATTACCCTAGAGTGAAAAACAACTATTTGTCTTAGTAAAGATTACATTTACAGTAGAGTCTGGACATTCGCTAGGGTTTGGTACAGAAAACTGTCGTGAATAGCCAAATTCGCTTATAACCAAGTTCACTCCTATACTATTGCATAAATATACTACAACATTTTGTATGTGTGGTTAAAAGACATAACAAATCCTTCCTTATAGGATATTTAAAGTACTAATGCATTGGTTTGAAGTTAATTAGAATAATATCAATCAACAAAAACAAACAACAACAGACATCATAAACGTACATTAATCGGACAAAATAAACAACATGATTTCCGGCTGTGCTTGAGAAGAGCAGTAAACCTGTCAGTGAGCTTGTGTCTCCAGCCTGTCATTCCCCACACTGCTGACACAGACCCTGGAGTGTTTGTTACTGTAGAGAAACAGGACCACGCTGAGGCGCGGGTGTTGGGTAGGGGGTACGAGGGCAGGGGGCAGGGGGAGGCTCACGCACTAGCTAGATGCATCTCACAATCCTGGTCTGTTGTGCAGCTGGTTTGAGAGTTGTGCTTAACCTTCAGCTCAGTTTCATCCCGCTCTGCTCTTCTTCCATCCAAGACTTTGTCAGCCAGACCGAATCACGGAACAAGCAAATTCGTCAATGTTAAATTCGCAGAGGTCGCAACCCTACTGTACGTGTTTTTGTAGAGCCAGATCAGAAGGGAGAACTCCACTGCATTTCTAACACAGACAGAACGCTGTATCCTCACATTCCTTACCTGTTCCTGACTTGAACGGGCTCAACGTCAAAGTAGGGTCTGAGGATGTCGATGTTGGCATACAGGTTAAAAGCCTTCGAGGCCTGCCTCTTCCCTGCCTGCCACACCTAGGCGGAAAGGAAAACAACACATAAGCCTCTTCACGCCTCCAGCCCCTCACCTGGCTGCTCGGAGCCAAAGGTTCCTTCTTTCCCATTCTTTCAGTTCCTGTACAAATGTGGGAGCAATCCAAACAAATTCTAAAGGATTGCAATGTCAAAAGTAAACGAAAGAAATTAAGCTCCTTTTTAATTGGCCCAGTTTTCTGCGGGCGGGTAGATTAAATTCTACAGATCGCAATCAAAGCAGCTACAGAACAGAGGACTCATCAGCGGTCTGAACACAGGCGACAGACGAGAGGAGGCCATTTAGTCCGTCTAGCCATACTGTTAGTCGTGAATGAATCCAATGATCTTCATGATCTTGAAGCCCCAAAGCGCTGGCTTCAAGCACATGTCTGGGCAGCTTGTTCCACACTCCCCCCAACTCTTTGTGTAAAGAACTGGCCCCTGCTCTCGCTTTTAAGGGCGCTTTCATCTAACACCAAGCCCCGACAGCACTTGGAAACGTCTGTGCGAGGGGACATGTGGAAATGAATAAAGACGCGTGGCGCCTGTGCTGCACGACGGCTGGTCTGCGCGTCAGGGCCCAGGATCTTGGCTCGGCCCCGGAGCCCCGTACTCGGCGGGCCCTACCCACTGACCTCGTCAGCCACCTGCCGGCCCAGCTGCCCCCGGAAGCCCTTCATGCCCAGGAACTCTCCGTCCTCGCCCTCCTCCGTGGCGGCCGCCTCCTCCGTCACCTCCTCCTCCTCCTTCATGCGCTGGTGCATCTCGCCCATGTCCTCGAAGCTGGAGCCCGACGTGTCGTCCATGTTCTCCATGTCGATCACGGCCGAGCCCCCGCCCTGCTGGCGCACCACGCACGGGGCAGGCTGGTCAACCCGGTCCCCGCAGATGACCGGGTCGGCCACGACAAAAACAGACATTTACAGCACCACAGAACTTTTACACCCATCACATAAAACACTGTTGTGAGGCAGCTCACTCTCAGCTCCTCGGGCTGTTCTGATTCTGCCAGGCGTGGGGATTCTGGGATTAGATTTGTTATTTTGAGAAGAATGTCCAACTAATCCCAGAGTATTTCTCTCAGTGCAGCAGAAAGTGCATCTTTGTCTCGGCTTCTTCCCACTGGCAGTGAAAGCACCACCTGTCCTCTCTGGACAGCCAGCGCTGCCTGTGTCCACTTTCTAGGGCCAGGCTGTGGTCACTGAGCCTGTCCTCTCTGGACAGCCAGGTC